TTGAGTAGCCTGATCTAGTTGAGAGGCGTCCCTGCCCGTGACAGGGAGGTTGGATTAAATGATCTCTAAGGTCCCTTCCAGCCTAGGCCATTCTATGATTCCATGATTCTAAATTGAAGAGGAGGATTACATTTCACTAAATAGGAAAGGCAGCAAAGAGGGGATCCTTTATAAAGAGTCAGCAGCAAAACCGAAACAGGGTTACTTTTTACTGTCAGTGTGTCAGTGGGTAATTAAAGTTTACTTTCTTTCTAGAAACATTTTAGTAAATCCATGACATGACCTAATGTCTGTGCTCCACAATTTTCAGTGTCGGACAAACACATGACTTCATCCAAAGTGGCAATCGGGTAATAATTGGGCAGGATGGGTTTATTTCATGCAGCTGGAGATGCTCAGCGTCTCGTTCGACTTTCGAGCGTTTGAGAGGCAGCCGTGAGCAGCACGGTCAGCCATAAACTCCTTTAGACACAAGTCGCACACCGTGGTGTGTGCTGGTGCAGAGCTGTGCTTCCTGGGCCAGGTGTCCTGCAAAGCGGAGGCGTGATCCTGCCGCAGGCGCGGGAGGAGCAGTGGAGTGGGCTTGCCCTTGGCCCCTCAGGGCAGAGCCTGTGGGGGCACATTGCCCCTTTTGTCAGCCTCCTCGTGGCGGCTTCTCTTTGGAAATAGCAGGAAAGGGGAGCCCTCGCATCTGGAAAACCACCCCCAGTCCTTCGAAAGCCTTGGAGGAGGCAGGAGCTTTACTGTGGCGTTCCTTTTTAAGAGTGGTGTATGGAATGAGTTCTCCTGTCCTCAGGCACATTCCTGTGTATGTGGCAATGTGAGGCAGTTAAGTCTCCAGTACTGCCTTTCCCAGCTGCATTTCCCTTTTAACTCCATAGTCTTACCTCAGGATAGTAATTTCTCCACATGCTGCTTCAGTTTTGCTTTCTGTTGTAGGATTATGTGTACACCTATGGGGATATACAATTTTTTTAAAAAATTTTATTGTATTCTCTGCTTAGGCTTTTTGTCCCAGGATGATTTTTTTTTTCTTGTTCTAATAAAAAAATAAATAAATCAGGAATGCTTATGAAAGGCTTGATGGTCCTTTTGATCTGACACTTCGCATATGGGCACATAATTATTTATTAAAGGCTTCTATACATCCCTTTCCATTTTGACTATAAAAATAGAATATTAAAATTAGTAAATACATATTCATGCAAACACTGTGGGCCAAACTCTCTTCTCAGACAGACTTGACTGGCTGCAGCAGGGAAGGAGAGCACGACCCATAAGTTGTAGCGCTGTTGACACATGCTTTTCAATACCTGTTCTGTCTTTATGAATGTTGTTTTGAACGAGTCGTTGGAGATATTCAGATCCAGGAACCTCGCTTGTTTTTTCAGATCCGCCTCACCTCTTTCCAGCATTCCACCCTCCTGTACCAATTGATGCGAGACATCATGAGGGACGCTACCATTACGAACCATCTCCCATTCCTCCTCTGCATGTGTGAGTATTCAGTATTTCCCTTCTCTTCAGCAGCTGGGAAGAACAGGCAAGTATGGGAACCTTTCAGTGCGTAAAGCTGTGCACCTGGAGCACTTTGCCAGTCTTGCCAGAGAGCAAGGTTTATCTTTGGAAAGCATCGAGGTTATCTGTTAGCGAAGCAAAACCCAGGCTGATGCCTGAGGAATTCCTCTTGTATTTGGTGGCTGGCAATTGTTACCTATGTGGTTTGCTGACATTTATTCTCTGTGCTGCTTCTCTATAAATACTAAATTAAAAAGAGCTGTACCCTGTGAAATACAGCCAGACAAAACATGTCTTTTGTCTGTATTAGGATTGGGATTCTTCGTAGCTAAAATTTTCTCTTGTGTTAAAATTTTGGATATTTTTCCAGTGACTGCTATGAAGCATAATGAAACTTTTGGTAAATTTTCGTAGTCCCTGTTGTGTGCATGCACAGGCAATCGGTTGATTGATGGGAATGTCACCCAAACAAAATGGCAAATGTGATAGAGCACATGGTTTACACAGAGATAAAATAAATTAATACCAGTGATAACGTGCATTAGAAAAGGATGGTGGTGGTGAAATCTTGTAGAAATAAATATTATCTTCTTCTATATGGGGAGACAGATATCGGCATTGCAGAATAAAACAGTTGCTGTGTCCATAAAACTGCTATGTAACGTTAAAAATGGAGCCAAAAAGTAAGGCTTTTTGCTTTGCTAAAAGGCTTGATATATACATTTAATCATATCTACTAATCACCTCTCATACTGAGAAAATACAAGAAGAAAAGCACAAGTAATACTTTGAAGAATAATGCTAGTTGTTTAGATGGCAGATTGCTTTGCTATGGCTATTAGTTACAGCTGTGTAATTACATATATGCAGAAGAAAAATGAAGTTGTTTTAAAACAAGTCCTCCTCTGTGAGCAAAATTAATTGATATTAACAATCCTAACTACATGCCCAAGTACACACACAATATTTTACTAACAGGTTTTTTGGGTCACTCTTCTATTACTGAATTGTAATTTCAGAGCAAATTTGCCTGGAGGTGAGTAATAAATCTGTGTTGCAGTCTTCTTAGGCATTAGAGAAAAAGTGGGTATTTATAGAAAGAGAGTGTATGGAAACTTGTGATTTATTCCTCGCAGTTCCTCTGATGCATCCCTGTTTACACCACAGTCTAGTGCATGATAAAATATAATGAAATGTATGCTCAAATTTGCTGCTAAAAGCCATTGTAAGCTGAAGGTGGCAGGCTCAGACAGAGTCATTACACGGTCATCCCAGATTTTGCAGTGCAGTGAGTGTCTTGCCTGGATATTTTTGGGAGCTGGATATTTTGGGGGGACGAGTCTGCTCGCTCTGAAGATAGTGGGACATTTTTTTTTTTGCCTTTGGTGCAAAGCAGACCAGGTAGGGAGGAGCCTGAGCCCCATGAACCCAGCCCATACCATGACACCCTGCGCCCACAGGTGGCACTTTCAGGTGAGTAGACCACCGTTCCCGCTCCCTGCTGTACCTCGGGGCCAGGGCCTGCGGAGGCTGGTTAGAGACAAGATCTTAGCATGGTGTGATACGAATGCAGGCAGCTGATATAGATGTACATTCAAACCCAGGCTTTAAACTCAGAATTTGCTCAATACCGGTTGTTTATTTTTCTATTAGCTTCTGTCAGTTCTTCCTCTCATTTCATTTGGATTGCCGTTGGAACGATGAGCTGTGGTGGACCCTCAGAGCCTTGGAGTTTTGGTTGGTGTAATTAAATGTAAATACATAATTAAGTAAATTTAAAAAAAAAACAAAACCAAACCAACCCTGTCGGACTGAACAGTTTCTTTGTAGATGTTAAGGTTTTTCGTGCTTTTGCAGTTTTTAGGAATACATTTTAATGCATGTGTGGGGGTAGACACCCAGCAGTTTTCTTGTAAGTTTTAGGGAGGCTGGCAGGAGTATCACTTAGGAATGTTAGATTTGGGATTGTTACTTGAACTGCTGTCCTAACAACCATTAGGAGGGGAGAAAAAAAAAAAGAGAGAAGAAAGATTTGAGTCTGAGAAGCTATTTGAGAATTCTGAGAGAAAATGGCAAGAACACCAGTCAGGATACAAGTGTTTACCCACAGCTTCATCAATGACTTCACTGTTCGAGTGGTTTTCTCCTCAGCTTCATAACACTCTCAAATGTGTGTGTGTGTAATATAAATAAAAAAGGGCAAAAAATTGGCATCATTCCAGTTATCCAGGCTCCTAGAAATGTGTTACAGAACCTGTCAAGCCTTAGTGGAATTGGTTTAGGTATAACACAAGTACAGAAAAAATGTGGAGAGGGCCTTGTCCACATGATACCTGCAGTGTGTGCACATAATTCTGAATAGTGGCTAAGTAAAAAAGAAAAAAGAAAGGAGGAATTCTTGAGGTGTACAGGACTCTCAGGTAGTTGCAGCTCTAAAGATGCATACCTATTTGTATTTATATGTATAATTCTTGTAGTTTAACTACTGATGGGCAGAACTGTTGTATCCCAAATTTCAGCCTGGAGGCAATTTTATAATTTGAGTTATAAACCCCTAAAAGAAGGGTTTATGTTTATGATGGAATTGCTGACAGATACTTATGTATAGTAGGACTAGCAGGCATTGCTGTAATTATGCTATCGTATCCTATCATTAAAGATTTCAATTGAAAGAGGTTTATAAATTGCTCTTCCTCTTAGATAAACCACCCTACATTAAGGCATCAATGATATGGTGCAGAATTAAATTAAAATCTCATAAAATGAAATATGTTCTGTATTAGCTGTTTGACACTTAATTTGCCTCTGAATGAGTAGAGGAAATCACAAATTAACCTGCCTTTGTTTTTCTAGCCATGGCTTATTAGGTGTTAGAACAACTGCAATTACAGCCGAATAATAACCCCCAACCCTTATGAATATGTACTGAAATGTGTCAGTTTGCGTTACCAAAACCTGTTTGTTAAGACTGTGCAGTTATCCTGGAATTTCTGCAGTACATCTTTGGTTTATACTTCAGGGAAGATTTATGAAACTGAAGTAGTTCTTGAGCAGCAACATACAAACAGTGTAATTGGAGCTGGAGCTTGTGTTTCCTTTTTTCTTTTTTTTTTTTTTCCTTCCAAATCCAGACGTGAACCTTAGTTTAAAAAAAAAAATATACTGGTAAACTGTAATTCATTTTTGCTACTTTTTGTTGAACTAGCAAGTAAAATTACTTGTTGAACATCGTATGATTAAAATATACCAAAAGAAGCTTAGCTTTAGTAATCTCTCTATTGGCTTTGTTCTTCTTTGTTTTTTTTTGTCTACTTCTTTCTTAATTTTCAAAATTGATTCCTAAAGTAAGATACTAAAGGAGAAACTAAAGTCAAGCTGTGTTTTGGTCCTTTACACTAGCTAGGCCATCCGACAGAGTGTGATGCCTTCTCCAGTTTGTGCAGTGGTTCAAAATTGTGCTTCTAATGAGGGTATTTATTTGAACATAAACTAATACTTTGAGCATCCGTTTTTTAAATACTCCTGAATAACCAAACCATAAATTTTCTACTGGATGACTCTTCCAGTTACATGAGGTCTTTTCTGATGTTGGCTTTGTTTTTAGCAGAGAGCAGGGAAGAATAAGGGTGTCTTGACTATTTTTATGACAGTGCAAGTGTAAATAACTTTATAATCCCACAACTTTTAAAATCTAATTTAGCTGAGATGAGAGGTTTTATTTCTTAAAACAGAACAACCAACCAAAAAAACCCACTGAAAACCACTCCTAAGGCCGAGGCAGACTTCCACTGATGGATTTAACTGCAGAGATTTAGTAAGCTACCACTCTTGGTCATTCATTCATTCCCAGACCTTCACCAAGTTGCATTAATAGGTTGCTCCAAATCTGCTCCATTTGAAAGTTGAATTGGACAGCTTGTGAAGGTGACCTAACTGAGGATTTCCAGGTGCTGTTTACGTGACTATGAAGGAATTATTTCCTGCAGAGATGGGGCAGTGGACAACTGCCGGGTGACAATATTGGGAATGGCTCCAGGGTGGCAGCCTGTGCGTGACTCAGAGCCGTTAACGCACGTGGTGCAGGAGGCTAATAAAAAATTAAAAATTTTGAGATTGACTGTACTACAAGATGCACCACGTGTGTCCCAAAACGTTCATCCATTTAGTCTCTGCCTTTCTTTTGCCATCTCATCTTAACGTTAGTCCTGGGCTGTGAGTAAGGGAGCATAAGCAGGTAAATCAGATGGAAGGTGCACTGACATTACCCATATGCTAACAGACAGGGGAGGCTGCCTTTGCAAGGAAGAAGCTGCAAGGTAAAGCTACTGTCTTGTAGCTTTCTAGGATCCACGATACTCCAAGGTCCGTTTTTTTTGTAACTGCTGGTGGAGGCTAGCGGCATCCGAGTTTGGCAGTCTCAAGCCCTGAAATGATGCACGTGCAGATGATTGTGCATATGTCTAACACGAATGCCTTGAATATATATATATTTTGAGCTGTCCGAATGCACCGGCGCTAAAGCGAAGCATGTGTTTTGCTTGCAGCCAGCTTCAGCTTGATAAAAAGAGGGTCTGATTCTTAGACATGTTATTTCATATCTAATTTATACAGATATCAGTTATATAAGGGTAAGCAGGAAAGGAGAGTCAGTCCCAGATGCTCAGCTCTCAGCAGCCTCTCATTTTGGGCCATGCAGAATGATAGGGGATGTCTGAATGTGAGAAGATTAAAGCATTGGCTCTGCTAGATATCCTTGATTATGAGAAAAACTGCTTGCCACACGTTTGGTAGGATGTTTAGGTTTTCCCAGCCCCATCACTAACGTTTTAATTTTTCCTCTGCGCTTTAATTCCTAAGCTCTTATTTAAAAAAGAAAAAACAACCCAGCAAAAACTTGATGTTGAAACCTCTTAAATCATTTACCTGCTGCTTTACCTCAGTGTACCTTTAAGCTGGAGACTTGGCAAGGAGTCTGTCAG